CGGAACCCCTTCGTCACGTGCCTTCAGGTTGTTGTTACAATAGTCCCACAGAACATAGGCTTGACCAACTGGAATTCAATCCTCTCCTGAATCTGGACCCAGGACAGGCAGCGGAACTACGACTGCAGGCATTATTGCAGCGTAAAAAATCCATTATGTTTACCTTCTAAGGCTGCTTTATCCAAATACTGATTCCGACAGACCAAGTAAGGTAGAGGCGCGGTACTGCACGATGTATGGCCGCAGTCTGGATTACAAAAACTGACAAGAACACCGAGTTGGTCGTTGTGTGACATCCTCGATAATGCCACTATCTACTGTCCCATTTTGCAGACTATCCAAAGTCAGTGAGGAGTGTCGTGTCGGTAAAACCATGTTAACCTGACAAAAATTTCGTCATCCTTTGTGTATCGCTTACCATAACTTGTCGTTCCTCTGAATCCTTTTTAACTCTTATTAGTTACTTGTAACATTGTACAACTCAGGAAGTTAATTAAAGTAAGAATATCATAGCATATTATATATATATATATATATATATATATCCTAGTACTTAATCCCATGTTAGGTGCTATTAAAGCGTGTATCTCTTTATTCCTATGCATTTTTATTGTCTACAAATAATCTTCGAGATAACCAGTCATCTCTGTAATTGAAAACATTAAAATAAAATCCGTTAGTCGCAAGTGACGTCGTTTCCGGAAATTCTGTTCGGGTCTTTAGTCACTCAGCTTTACCAATATGGTAACCATTTAGGTGGTCTACGAAAATTTCTTACATCACAGTCGATACAACTGTTCGTTGGCAGGTCCACCCGTAAGTTGGAGGGACGCACGTGGTTGAGCTTTGTGAGTAAGGAAGTTTCATTGACACGACGAAAACCACTTGTCTGCGTTGATTTAGTGGTATTGTACGGCGACCCCAGCTTATATGCCAGTGTAGTTGTATTATGAAAACGCCTAATGCCCTCTTACCTATTCTCATCATTTTTAGACAAAAGACAATCAGATGGACGACAACTCACGGAGAACGCCTCTCCATGCAATAGGTACAATTCCATATCCCCCATGTTTTTTAAACCCCACTAATTGTTTACTCTCAACCGTCTTATTCATCTTGTAGGGGTATTCCGAATGGGTCTGTTTCCTTCCGATCCGATGTGGACAGACACAAGTCCGCTGAAGGCCTTTTGGGGCCACCGTCCTCCGATGGTACTTCAATAATTAATTCGCCATCCTACACACGAACCTCTCCCCATCTTCCTTCTCCCACCATCACCAGCACCTGTCTGGATTCGCATAGTTTGCGCACAGTCTCTGCACAGGTATCTTCCAACGACGCATGTAAGGCGCCCAGGATCTCAACAGTCAACCCGAGTCCAAAGTTTTCTTCGGTCTCGAGTCACGATATAGCGACGGCGTCCGCTCCTGAGACTGTTGATGTGGAACAGCAGAAACTAGATGCATCTCTCCTCATATTGGAAAATCCGGAATTGCTTAAGTACTCGGACCCATCTCTGACAGAAAAGTTCCAACTTCCCTTGGCCGACAGCCTAGAAAACGAGGTAGCCTGCTGCCTTCTGTTTTGTCGATGAAATTTACAATTCTTACTAAATTTCGGCACTTTTGCCGCTTTTTTGGGAACTCAACTCATTACTGACTATTAGCAAAACAAGTGAACAATACTTTACCTATGTATGCATATCTAACCTTCTACCCTAAAAATTATGTTTTTTTTTACTCGAAGGCCCAGCTGGAGTTCCGGAAGTTTGATCGTCTTCACAGCGTCCTTTACAGTGAACTTTCGGGTGAACTCAAGAAACTCCGTGCGCTTGTTGGCATCAGCGAAACAAAACTGAAAATCAATCAGAAGAGGTAAACATTTGAGCTTTATATTGCATTCAAACTGCCATGGAAACTTGGTACATTGCCGTTAACGCATCCGTAGACGAAATATCCAGCTCCGCATACCTTGATTGCTTTACCGACAAACCTTTTGCTGTTAGGGTCCCAGAACAGTCACACAGCTCAACACCACCTTCGGCATAACTACATGGTACAGTTGCTCTTAAGGTGCCGCCGTCTGCGAGTTTAGGACTAAAACATTTGTCGACCCACATGACTGACGTAGGTGTTACTGTCGAGTGTTCACCTGCCACTCAAATGTGAACATACGCCCTTG